TCATTATTATTTTTCACATTCAAGTAGCATTTAATTTTGCTTCACCGTAGATTTCTATACTTTACTTGAGAAATCTTTATTCTCATTATAGCAAAGCTTTCTTCATTTTGCTTATTTCTGATTTTCTCTATATACTTATTAAATTAGATGCAACATTTTAAAAGTATTTATCTTTAGCTGTATTTATACATTCCTGTTGACTTTTTTATTTCAAAATATTAAGGGGATACAAATGTTTTTCTTACATGGATGGCTTTTATAATGCTTCAGTCAGGGCTATAAGTGTGCCCATCACCCAAGTAGTGTTCATTGTACCTGTTAGGTAGGTTTTTACCCCTCCCCCTTTCTTGATTTCCAACAGTATTTACTTCCTTCTTTGCCCATGTGTGCCAGTCAATTAATTCCAAGTTATTAGTTAGTACATGTGGTATTTGTGTTTCCATTCTTGATATACTTCACTTAGGATAATGGTTGCCAGTTCCATCCAAATTGCTGCAAAAGACATTAATTAATTTTTTTAATGTCTGATTAGTACTCCATGGTATACATATATCACATTTTGTTAATACATTTGGGAATTGATGGGCACTTGGATTGATTCTGCGACTTTGCAATTGTGAATTGTGCTGCGATAAACATTCAAGTGCAGGTGTCTTTTTGATAAAATGACTTCTTTTCCTTTGGGTAGATACTCAGTAGCGGAATTGCTGGGTTGAATGGTAGGTATACTTTTAGTTCTTTGAGAAATCTTCATACTGTTTTCCATAGAGGTTGTACTAATTTGCAGTCCCACCAACAGAATATAAATGTTCCTTTCTCTCTGTGTCCATGCTCGAATCTGTTGTTTTTGGACTTTTTAATAAAAACCATTCTGAGAGGGATAAGGTGATATCTCATTGTGGTTTTAATTTGCATTTCCCTGATGGTTAGTGACATTGAACATTTTTTCATATGTTTATTGGAAATTTATCTTCTTTTGAAAATTTTCTGTTCATGTCTTTTGCCCACTTTTTAATGAGGTTGTTCGTTTTTTTCTTGCTGATTTGTTGAGTTCTTTGTAGATTCTGGATATTAGCCCTTTATTGGATGAATAGTTTGCAAATATTTTCTCCCATTCTGTAGGTTGTCTATTTCCTCTATTGATTATTTCCTTTGCTGTGCAGAAGATTTTTAGTTTAATCAAGTCCCATTGATTTATTTTTGTTGTTGCTGCAATTGCCTTTGGGGTCTTGGTCATAAATTCTTTGCTGAGGCTGATATCTAGAAGAGTTTATCCTACACATTCTTCTATAATTCTTATGGTTTCATGCCTTATGTTTAAGTCTTTTATGTATCTTGAATTAATTTTTGTGAATGATAAAAGATTGGGGTCCTAATTCATTCTTTTGCATGTGGCTATCCAATTTTCCCAGCACCATTTATTGAATAGGGCTTCTTTTCCTCAGTGTATGTTATCTGCTTTGTCAAAGATCAGTTGGCTGTACGTACATGGTTTTATGTCTCAGTTCTCTGTTCTGTTCCATTGGTCTATATCTCTATTTTTGTACTAATACCATGGTGTTTTGGTTACTATAGCCTTGTAGTATAGTTTGGTAATGTGATGCCTCCAGATTTGTTCTTTATGCTTAAGATTGCTTTGCTATTCAGGCTCTTTTCTGGTTCCAAATAAAATGTAGAATTATTTTTTCTAGATCTGTGAAATTTGACATTGGTGTTTGATGGGGATTGCATTGAATCTGTAAATCACTTTGGGCAGTATGCACATTTTAACAATGTTAATTCTACTTATCCATGAGCATGATTCATTTTCCTGCTGACTTTTGATAACATTCAGAAGTACTCTGCTGGCCAAATTTGGGCCAGGAAATTTGATAGAAAGCAAATATATTTTTTAAATTAGATATTTTATAGAAACTATAAAAAGATTAAAAGATAATATTGTGACATTATTACTCACCTCACATTCCTCTTTGTGTAGAAGTAACATTTTCAAAAGTGAATTATCATTAGGTTAAATGATAATTTTAGCATTAGATTAGGTTAAAATGCCCTTATAATTTTTAAATTTTATAATCTCATTTAGTGATTTACTTTATACTTTTATCCCTTAAACTCATTGCTTACTTCCTAATTTCTTTTAAAAGACAGTATCTGTACAGTTGATTACTATATTCTTGAATAAAAAAATACCCAATGTCCAAGAAGCCCATCATCATCAGTGGAAATATACTTCATTTTGCAGTGGTATATGTAGTAACAGGTGAATGTCCACTCTAAGCAAATTCAGATTATGCCTTTTAGTTTATCCTTTTTCTAATCTAATGATAGTTAAGAGTTATTATCAATAGTTGCAGAAAAAATACTAGCTTCAAAGTCACAATATTTTGATTCTAATCCCACTCTAGAATGTACTAACTGTATGACCTCAGTTAAATTAATAACTTCTGTAAACCTCCATTTCTTCCTTTGTAAAACAATAATAACAGCAGTAGTAATACCTTTCCCAAAGGGCTGTTGTGACTGTTAGATCTAAAGAAAGCATTCCACACAGGGTCTATTACATAAGGTGTTCAGTAACCATTAGCTATAATATTACACTACTACTATTATAACTTCTTTTTCTTTGCTTTTCTCTTTTTCCTCTTTTCTTCTCTTCATCTTCCAGAAAGTCTTCATGGCAGTTAACTGCTTTCTGTGCGTATTTACGTGAGAAATGGATCAAATTATTCCTCCCTGCATAAATTAGGAAACGCATACAATGCTTTGTGAAATATTAATCTCTATAAAAATCGGGGGCCCCCATTATATTAAATATGGTGGGTCTGGCATTCTTCAAATATTAAATTTTTTAGAAGTAGCTGATTTTCATGATTTGGTGTAAAATGCTCTATAAGAACAATTAAACTTTGCCAGTGATGTAATCATAGCAGAGAAACTAACATGGGCATCAGAATGAAATAGGCAAACTTGGCAATTTTATAAACAACAGGGATGAATAATGCTGTTTCTTAGAAAGAATATTTGGAAAATTCTGTCTTCTCAATTTCCAGCATGAAAAGCACAACTCCATTTTTTTCAGATGAGAAACGTTCTTTTTTTTTTCTTCTCAAACGTGTCCCTTAACATAGATAGAGAAACATAATAAGGGATTTCCATTTGAGCTCTACCTTTTTAAGGCATGAGAACACTGTGGGGAGCTGACATAAGTGCCACGTTTTTGTTCTTCAGATTCCAAATGTGATTTTGAAGCAAACAGCTGTGGTTGGTTTGAAGCAATTAGTGGTGACCATTTTGACTGGATATGGAGCTCCCCAAGTGACCTCTCTAGTGACTTAGAGCATCGGGCTCCACCTCGGGATCATACTCACAATACAACTCAAGGTAAGAAGCAAGCAAGGGTTCTCCCTAACGACTTCCATTTTCTGTTCAGTTATGCCTGAGAAGGGAAAGAGAAGCCATTACGGTTCTATGTTACAACAAACAATAGGACAGTTGAATGTTGCCAAGAGTAAATATTGTCAAGTTATGGTGTCTGCGTGGAATGATTCTTTATGGGTGGTACAGATGGAGTATAGATATAGTTTTGGTTGAATTAATTGAAATCACCAATTTTTTTGGTATCTGTTAGACCTAGACATAGATAATAGTTCAATATTTATGAAAGTAAATTTGACGGTCACTTTATTGATTTTTTATTGTTGTATGGTTTTAATTTTAGTTGGACATGGAACTTAGTATAGGGTTAAGAGACAGATGTCTCATTTTAGAATCCTGTAGTTTAACTAATGATTTGTTTTTGTATCTCAATAGGGCATTTTATGTTCATTCTGAAGAACAGCAGCAGCTTGTCACAAATTGCTAAGCTCCAGAGCCCAACTTTCAGCCAGACAGGACCTGACTGCACACTTTCCTTTTGGTAAATATTAAAGACAAAAATCAATCACCCTAGTGGCCCCATGGTTGCAGACATACTCTTGCGCTTAGTAGTTCTTATGGGTTACCCTGGTTTTACTTTATAAATAACTATTGCATTAAACTCATCCAATTTGCACTTTACTTAGGAGCATGTTATGAGTATTTGTTGTTTCATTTCTTAAGAGGAGAGGGACTCTTTCCCTCCGCCAGTGGATTATAATTTAATTAAGACTGCTTCCTCTGTTCTGTGCTGAGCTCTTTGAGAAGAATTCCCAGGGTTGTGAGAGCCACAGATGTGCACCTCAGCAGATAAGCTTTTGCAAACAGGCCACTACAATTCCCACAGGAAAGAAACATGTCCATTATGATAACTCATTATTAATTGACTGTTGACCAAGTAGAAAAGTGTAGAGGTTAAATATTTAGTCTAACCCATAAATCATTTCCATTTCTCGTGTTTGCTCTTTTTCAGGTTTTATAACTATGGGCTGTCAGTTGGAGCAGCTGAGCTGCAGCTACATATGGAAGAATCAAATGACTCCACAGTACTTTGGAGAGTGTTGTATAACCAGGGGAAGCAATGGTCAGAGGCAATCATTCAGTTAGGACGCCTTTCTCAGCCCTTCCATTTGTCACTAGATAAAGTCAGTCTTGGCATTTATGATGGAGTCTCAGCTATTGATGACATCAAATTTGAAAATTGTACTCTTCCCCTTCCTGCTGAGAGCTGTGAAGAACTGGATCATTTCTGG